CTCACCAGCTGCTTGGACACTTACCCGGACAGGATTGGTAGGTTGATTTTACTCACATCCCTATTCACAAAAAAGTTAAATATCTGCTCACAACGGTTGATACAATAACAGGTTGGGTCAAGCCCTTCCCTGCAGCTAGAGAAACAGCTCAGGGGGTAACCGAGGCCCTTCTTAACCACATTAGCCCACACTTTGGCCTGCCCACATCTGTCCTATCTGACAATGGTCCAGCTTTTATCTCAAAGATTACTCAGCAGGTCTCCGCAGCTCTGGGTATCACCTGGAAGCTTCACATTCCCCACCACCCGCAATTCTCAGGGAAAGTGGAGCGCGCCAATGGGCTAATCAAGGATCACCTGACTAAACTCTCCTGAGAGCTCTGCAACTGCTCCGGGAACATGCAGACCGGTACTTACCCAGTCCTGCCCGAATCTCGACCTCCTCAACTGACCTTCCCCACCACTGCATCCAGGAGACCAAGTTCTGCTCCAATCGCTTCAGCCAAAGCCACTGCAGCCTCCATGGACTGGTCTGCACACAGTCATTCTCACCACGCCTATAGTGGTAACACCTCTGGGAGACCCCTCCTGGCACCATCTCTCTCGGGTCAAACGTGCGCCCGAAGACAAACAGTATGTATGTTGTAACCTGGGTCCTACTAGGATGCGCATTTCTTGTCAAAATCTCCCCTAGCTCAGTGTCCTGTGTGTGGAAATTCAAAGTTAGGGAGACCTTTGTCTCAGGATCCACGGAGACCACCCACTTGGTGGGTACTGCGGATGCCCACAGGCCGGATGCACAGCACCCATCACTCTCACCATAACTCTTTCATCAATTAACAACACTATGAACACCATGTTTTCTTTCTTTTACCATCAAACCTTAGATCATTGCAAGAATACCTACAAAGAATATGGGGGGTGCCCTTGCCCGTCATGTACAGTGCACCTTCCAGACAAAGGCCGAATGTTCTCTCCATCTGTCATAATACGGGTTTCAATACGAATCAAGTTAACTATCTTTTTCAGATCCTTGGGACCTACGCTGGGTACAGGGAGTCCAAGCCACAGGGTACACTGGCTGGCATTCCTACCCAATGGAACCCAACATTGTCCTTCTCAAGGGAATATGTCCCGACACAAAATGCCACAGTCCAAGTCTCCCGGGGCATCCTCCACTCGGAGCAAGTCCTACAAAATCAGCTAACACCATCAGAAAAGATGGAGACACCCTCAACCTGGGTTCATATAATCCAAAACACTCTACCCTTCCTGACTGACTCTTTTGGGACTAATCCCTCCTCTTGTTTCCTCTGCGCTTCCCTTCAGAGGCCTCTACTGGCAGCAGCTCCAATTCATCTCAATACCATTACGACCAAGATAAGGGATGCTGCTTGCCAGACTCCCCAACTCTCAGTCCCCCTATGGGACTCCAATCACAGCTACCCCTGCTATCCAACTGATGCCCTTCTCGGCTTTCATTCCTGCACTTCTAACATTTCGGTTAAAGGATAGATACCTCCTTAGAAAAAACCCCTGTGTCTTTAGCATCATCACAAAGACAGCTCCCCCGCCCTGGCACAGGCCACTCCAAAACCTGCGGGCTCTGGACCTGTGAACGGCTAACAAGGGGGGCACCTGCCTGTTCCTCAGGGAAGAATGTTGTTATTGTATCAATGAATCAAAGACTGTAGAACAAAATGTGGAAGCCGTCATGAAACTACACAAAGACATGGAAAGGGAAAGTGGGGGCTCCAATTCCCCGCTGACATGGTTTCAAAATCCTATAGTCTCATGGCTCCTCCCACTCTTGGGGCCAATACTAATGATAACTTTATTTTTTTCTTTTTGCTCCTTGCCTCCTAAAATTCACACAGGCTCACATTCAGGAAATGTCTCCTACCACCTTCAACCAACTCCTTCTCCACCCACATTCTCTCATCCCTGCAGAAGACCCTCATAACCAGGCCTGAGCCACCCCCTTGGCTCTCTGCCAGACCAGAGAGCAGTAATGAGGGAGCAGCACCTAGATAAGGGGTTCTCATAAACGGGCTGGCCGAGGACAAAGAGTAGCGGTGAATGTGCGTGGCGGGGCAAGGGGTGGAATGTAGTTCCCTCACAATCCCTGGGAACCATCCTTATGTCACATCAAGAGCTGGGTGCTTGATTTGTTGCCCCAGCCCCCCAGGACTAACTCCCTTTCAGGTTTCCCTTGTGGCCTCAGATTACCAACTTGAAGGGGACCCAAGACCATGGGACCCGACCCTGGGAGAGGGTTCAGGCTTGCTTGCTCTGTACTGTACCCCACCTTTAAACACTGAGCACCTACAAAGCCTACGCTTCCCTAGTAATCTTGGAACGTTGGCAACTGCTCTGGGTGACACTGGGAATAATTGTTTAGTTTCGTTTTCTGCGGGGTTTCTACTTCTCCACGGAGACTTTCCAATTTTTGTCTGACTCCTCCATCTCACATTCTCATTCCTTATGACCCTGGGGCCAGAGTGCCCCCCAATCAGTGCTCTTTGGAGTGATCTCTTTACCCTCTGTGGATCAGACCCCAGCAAACTGACCTTCCCAGTTGGGAATCTTCCCCCAGTCGTCTCAACATGGGTTGCTCAGCACGGCACAGGATAAACAGGCGACTGAAGCATCCATTCTGCTTGAGTCTCCTGAGAAATAAAAGCCTTCTGTGTTAATGCACGTATGCAGACATATGTGAGATTGTAACAGATTGCTCTGAAATGTGCCTGGCTGTGCCCCTGGCTGTCCCCTCACTGCCTCCTGCCATCAGCATCCACTGGTGCAGGAGCTTGAGCAGCGCTGCCTGCTGGCAGCTACTGAGTCATGGCATCCCGGAAGTTCGAGTCTGAAGACTGAGTGAAAATTCCTAAACATTTTTTCTTTAAACCAAGTTATCAGTCCATTTCTTCTGTCATTGGAGGATGGGACGGGGGGACTACTCACAGCACCTGGTGGAGATGTTGGTGGCATGACGTCAGATGGCAAATCTAACTTGTAACGTGGGGTGTGAGTACAGGGGCTTGCCGTTCTCGTGAGCCTCAACTCTCTTTTTCCTCTCCGCAGTTGAGAGACTGCCAAAGGAAAAACACCTTGGGGTCTCCTGCAGGAGTTAAGGAAAAAAAGAAGAAACATGGCAGTAGGCCAGAGACAACCACTTCCAGTGGTTGTAAGTCATCTGAAGATGTAAGTCTTGCCCAGCCAGGCTTCCTGGGAGAGGGTTGCTCCAGGGGCAGCTCAGTGAGAGGTGAAGAGCATGAAAGAAGTGGGTAAGAACCCTGGGTCTGAGTGCGGCCTCTCCGTAGCTCTGCTGGGGATCTGATTTGGGGCAACACTGTTTAAGCTCTTTGTCCACCTGTGAGTCAGGGTGCTACAGCTCTACTTAAATCTAGGCAGCATCCATGAGATGATTGTGCGTTCATCCCTTCGTGCGGGGCCTGGTGCGCAGTGAGCCTTCAGGACAAGGCATCGCTATGGACTTCTTGTTCTGGCAATTTCCCTCATCCCCAGCCTCAAGGGGAAGCCAGTCAGTGAGGACACCCTCTCCCTTTAGGGCGGCACAGATGAACCCCGGGTGCTTGGGATTAGGTGACCTCTGAGGTGGGAGACCGTCTTTGCCACCTGCTTGCTGGGTGATCCCAGGGAAAGTCACGTCCTCCCGGGCCTCAGTTTCCTCACCTGGAAGATGAAGTTGTTGGGCCAGATCAGTGTCCTCCAGACTGATTTGGTAGCTTTGATCATCTCTTGGTTCATGTTGCTTCCTGCCTCGGGCGAGGTGGTGAGTGGCCGTTTAGAAAGATGGCGCAGGCCGTGGTACGGATCCGTCACCCTTGTCTCTAGCATCCATCGTCCAGAGCTGCTCTCTCTTTCCTTCTCTGACCTTTTTGTCTTCTCTAAGCCACTTTTCTCTTCCTCCCCTTGCTCTTGTTTTTCTCTTTTCACCTCATGTAGATTCAGGACATTCTGCAGGTGCTGTGTCCGACCTTAACCGCTCCAATGGGGTAGCGCTCCCCCATTGGACAGGAGGAAGGTGAGGCCGTGCCGAGACCCCCTCTCTGGCTTGGCCTCTCCCAGCGTGCATGCCCGAGGCTTGTCTGCTTGAGGTACTTGGCCTCTGGCTGATTTTATGTTGCCATCATTAACCCTCGGTGTGTCCACGTCTGCTATTTCACCTGCTTGGTTGATCGTTGTTTTCCTTCCCGCACATCTTTATCATCCTGGAGAAGATACAATACACCGTGAAGGGTGAGAGGTCATTTGGGAAGAGCTTCCAGAGCAGGGGTGTGAGATTTGGGCCTTCCAAGCCTCCAGTGTGAATGCTCAGGGGCCCGTCCTACTGGGAGTGCCTCAATAAACCCCCGCCCCAAACACGGGGCTTGCCCTCTGGGCATGTCCTGCAAAGACCAACAGTCCACACTGCAGTTGATTTTTCAAAGTGATGAATTCATTTTAGCTTAGGAGTGGGAAATGCAAGATTAGGAGAAAAGGGGCTTTTGTTACAGGTGCAAGGACTAAGGTGAGTTTTGTAGCAGAACTGCAAGTGCGTGAGGTTCACCAGAGATGAGTGACTGGGACATCCTCCCCCACTGTCTTTTAAAAATCAACTGGACACTTACCATCTCCCATGGGCCCTTGGCAGCAGACACTTTGCTAGGCGGCAAGGTGGGATGTGGCAACTGAGGGAGCAGTTGGCTCTGAAGGGTCTGGAGGCTGGAGGGGTGGCCTTTGAGACTGATGTGTAGAGGTGGGCAGTGTTCATCCCCGTGGAGAGCGGGTGACGTGGGAGTCCCGGGCAGAGGGTGGGTGCAGGAGATGATCAGATTCGGAGCCCAGAGAGCGCTTGGCAAGAAGGTAAGGAGGCTGGGGTGCCCTGGGCTGGGGGATGACCTCGTCCTGATGTGGAAGGGGACACCGAGCTCTGGGTCTCCAGCTGTATTGGGTGGCGTCTCATTGTTTCTTCTGTCTGTCCTGGCCCATCAGAATATGGAGGTGACCGGCTCGCTCCAAACAGAGCAACACACCAAGAGCGAGCTGGCCATGAAACTCGGCCAGCTACGGGAGAAGCTGGCAGACCTGAAGGAGCTGGTAAGGCCTGCGCTAGCTGGGAAGGGCTCGGAGGCCTCCGGGAGGGAGGTCCTTAGGCCGGGACAGAGATGGCTCCAACTCAGGGCTGGGGGGCACTGATGACCCTACAGTCCTGCCAGGTCTTTGACCACCTGTGCCCTAGGCTCTGACATGGAGTGGTGGGTTCCTCGGGACTGCAGGTCACCTCCCTGCTGAAGGCATGAGCCAGGAGGGGAGAGACGAGGAGACGTGGAGACATCCTGGTTCCAGACTTGGCTCTGGGTCGTGCTTCACTGAACAGGGCTGAGCCTCAGCACCCTTCACTTCATAGAGCACTAGAAAGCAGTTCTGCTGCGGTGAAGGAAGGGGCCTGGGCAGGTGGCAAAGTCCCACAGTGCCTGCCTTAGGAAGAGGGGCCCGCGCCTGTCCCCCACATCTATGGGCGCAGATCTGTGAGATGACTTGGCGGCAGGAGCCAGCAGCAGCGGTGGTCTCCACTCTGCTGCTCCACCACAAGTCTGTTGTAGCAGTTGCTCCTCAGAACTGCCCTTTTCTGCATGCTTCCTGGATTATGGGAGCTGATTGGTGCTAAGTGGTCCAGTCAGCCAAGGATGAAGATGGTCCAGGGCCTCCCTGGTGGCCTAGAGGTTAAGTCTCGGCACCATCACCACTACTGCCTCAGTTTGATCCCTGGTCAGGAGCTGACCCACAGGGCACAGCAGACCTCTCCTGCCTTGCCAGCTGCTCCCCTCAGCAGTGTGTTTCAGTCAGTCTGCCTGTTCTGCTCACTCTACAACTTTGGCCAATACCTCAGTTCTTCTGCACAAAAAAGGAAAAATAGTCCAACCAGACTTGATGTTGGGACACCCTGAAGAGTGATATAAGCCAGGGTTAGAGGGAGCTGAGGGGCTCTGTTCCAACCTCTAAAGAAAGAAGGGGAAGACTCTGTTCCTGGCCTCTGAAGAAAGGAGAACCAGAAGCTGAAAGAAGAAAAGCAGCACCCAGGAGCCAACCTCTGCGGGAGGAAGAGAGGATGAAGACCTCTGTCAGAGACTGGGCCTCCAGTCCTCAGTCTGACATCACCGGAAAGGAGCAAAGGCTCGGGCCTCATGTCTGAAAGAGCTGTTTGTTGTTGGTGTTGTCCAGCAACTCAAAAGAACTTTTAACACTTGGTGTCTCTGACACAGGCTGGGATCCCAACTGAAAAGGGTAGTCACAGGGCATGAGGATGGGATGCCAGGATAGGCCGCAGTGGCACCCACCTGCCCGGGCTCTAAGATAAGAGAGCCGCCAAAAAGCCCCAAAGCCTAAACCAAGGGCTGGAGCATTACAGTACCCATACGATAGACTGCCTACAGGCTGGAGCCGATGGAAGGATAGTGCCCAGTAGGGGACTCATCACTGTGGTTCTCAACCATGTGCACAATTGCAAGAGACTTCAGTCTGGGAACAACCACCTTGGGGGCCTCCCCTAGTGGCGCAGCGGTTGAGTGCTGGGCTGTGAAGCTGCTGCCTCTGCTGCCCACAGCCTTTGCAGCGCCGGTTCCCCGGCTCAATCCCTGGCCGCCAGTGAGGGTCCCACATGGCGGGACAGACCTCTCCTGCCACCCACTGCTCCCCTCAGCAATGTACTTGGGTCCTTCTGCCTGTTCTGCTTCCTGCTCTGGCTCTGGTGAATTCTCTCACCTTCCTGCGCTTCTGACTTTACCTAACGCTTATATGAATAAAAAAAAGAAAAAAGTTCTATTTGCAGAACTTCTAACCTCCTGCAACCCCCTGTGCAGAGTAAGCAGGTGCTCTCAGAGACTCCAGCTCCCTTTAGGGTGGCAGGCGCCAGCACACCAGCAGAGGACCTTACACTACTTCAAAGGAAACTGGCACCCCCTGATCACTGCAGCACAATTTACAGTAGCCGAACTGTGGAAGGGGTTGTACATAGATAATAGAATACGACTCATCAAGAAACATAAACTCATGCCATCTGGGGCAACATGGACGGAGCTAATGGAAATAAGCCCAAAGGAGAAAGACAAAAACGTCACTTAGATATGGATATAGAGAAATTAAACAAAGGGCTAGATTAAACTATCCCTTGAGTCTCCCAGGTGGTGCCTGACTACTGGCTGGGGCTGCAGACCAGCCTAGACTTCTTGGCCTGGCAGCACTGGATGGTGGACTGACCCTCTCTAGTTTGACATCAAACTCATTGATGACAAAGTCTGACTCTTGCTGACTGAGTGCCCCATTGTCTTGTTTCACCTACACCACCACTGGATCCCCAGCCTCTGCTGTTTACTGGGTCTGAGATGGATCTTGTACTTGATGCTGCATGTAATTTTTATTTCTTTTTTTTAGATGCATTTTTAATTTATTTATGCATACGAGAACTGGGGTACAGGCCAGAGGTGCAGAGGGTGAGAGGATTCACCAGACACAGAGTAGGGAGCAGAATAGGCCAATCCACTGAAATCCACTGCTGAGGGGAGTGGTGGGTGAGACAGGAGAGGTCTGCTGCCCCATGTGGGTTGCTCCCTGGCCAGGAATCAAACTCAGGTCTAAGAAGTGATAGCACTCAGACTTAAACCTTATGCCCCCACGGAGGCCCTGTTTTATTATTATTTTACATCTTTTGATATTATTTAAAAAATAGAAGCACTCCTACTGCTCTACTTTCATAATAACACGCTCCAGCCCTTGGCTCAGGTCAGGTTACACGTGTCTTTGTCACCTTTGCTCAGTGTCCATCTCTCATGACAGTGCAAGCTCCATGTCTCCAGGGTCCTCTCTCTGCTGCCATTGTTGTCTGCAGGGAGGCAGCTTGGGGAGGCGGGAGCCAGCCAGGGAGAGGGATGCTGGAGAGTGAAGAGGAGGCAAAGGCAGAGAACACTAGGGAGATGCTCCCTGGTCACTGAGAAAAGCATTTCTCAAAGTGGTTGTGGAATCCTTGAAGTCACCCAGGCTTTCACAGGAGCCACGAGGTCAAAACTATTTTCTAAACGTCACTTAGGACACCATGGCTTTTTCACTATTTCGCCATCTGCTGAGGTAAAACTTACTAAAAATGGAGCTTAAATTACTAACTGCAGTTATTTTTCACAACTACTTACCTCAGAACACATTCAAAGGCGGTGTCATTTCAAAGTGTCTTGGTTGAAGCATTAAAAAATCTGCATTATTCTGTCATCCTCAAATCCACATTTTACAGCACCTGATGCGAGGACACGCAAGTGCACACACAACACTCCTGTTGCGTCCCCAACTACCATGTGCCAAGGAAAATATTTGCATGAGATGAATTAGACAGTTTTTCTTTTTTGTAGGTAATTCCATCTGCACATGAAGGAATGAATGACAAAATCTGTGGCTATTTGATTCGGTTAATAGACAGACATTGTCCTGAAAATGAGTGTGTGCTCCTTTAGAAAATCAACTGACAATTGATTAACTGACAGTCACTTCTCCTTGACCAAATATAAGTGCTCAGAAAAAACCAGAATCATGAAAATTGTGTCCTGTCACTAACTTGACAACTTCCAGTACTACTTTTACTTTTTGGATTTGTGGTGAAAAATAAAATGAATTTTTTAAAATAATTTGATTCCAGTGTAATGAACATTGAAGAGCTTTATAATTTGTGGAACAATATATTACTTTAAAAAAATCACACATTAAACACTGCAGTTAGTTTTATGCAAGAGAGGACTAAGGAAATGTAACAGAATAAGAAATATTAATGATATTGTTCAGGTTTCACTTTGCAAATAACCTGGGAGAAAATACCAGCTGTATAGATTTAATTTAGTATCAAAGTGAAATATTCACAAATAATGTGAAACACTACTCCAACATATTTTGTGAGGCTGTAGACATTTTTTCATAGACTTCAACCAGAACCACAGCTAAATGCAGAGGAAACATGAAAATCCTACTGTCTTCTAATGAGACAGACAAGAAAAAACAATGAGACAGACAAGAAAGACAACTCCAACATAAAACACGTTAAAGATTCCACTCTTCCCATTGCCTGATAAAGAATTATTTAACAGGCATTGGTATGATTATCTATTAACAGACATTGGATTATTACTATAATTCTAATGAAACAACTACATGATCAAACTCGCTTTATTCCCAGTGTGGTAGTATGGGACCAATACCTCCTAAACAAGCTTATGCTTGGCGTCCTCCCTAATTTGTCAGTCTGGACACGGATCCGGAATGGAAAATGACTGAGAATCGCAGACCCAG